GTGGTCAACCTCAAGAAGCTCAAGCGAGATCTACTCATCACTAGTCGAGCTAGGTCCTCTAGACCGCTTAGCAATGGACTTCACCCTCTGGGTAGACTTCTCCCCAACAACTTGGGTAGGTAGCTATTTGCCTTTTCTCCTGGAAACCACTGGCTCATCCACATCCAAATCACCAAACCAACACATTGCAGGGAAGCCTCCTCCCTTACCTAAAATTTAAGAGTGTTACAAGAGAGAAGACAACAAATGCTAAGTCAAGGTATTGAAGAAACAAGGCAATATTATCTTACCAGACACAGGCAAAGCCTCCTCACCTGCTCTTGCCGCAGCCTCGCTGGCAAGCTCACTACTCCCCTCTAGCAGCTAAATTATGCTTTCGATGTCTATATCTTGCCTAAGCCTCTTCCTACGGATTGTCTCTTTGACGTAATTATTTGCTCTATAAAATAGTCTTGAACTGAAGTACTCATAAGTGTCCTTAGCAGAGGTATCAAGTGGGAGGGAACTATAGGTAGTATACTCTAGGACAAAACCAACCAACACTAGAAAGACCTACTAAAGGCCTTGAACATGTGGCCTTGCAAAGGTGCAAACAAGGATCTTACAATAGCACCATTCTTGTGCCTCCTAATCACCTTAATAGCATGAGATGCTGGGCAAGCAAGGAAAAGAAAAGTGTCAGTACAAGTAGCAAATTTTAAACTTTCAAGTAAACAATAAGGTGGTGCAACTGACTAACCTAGCTCACCAATGACACGCGGGCATGGAGGGCCATCATCTATGTCAGGTCCAAACTCCCAATCTCTTCTAACTAGCACAAACTTATCTTTGTAACCTTTGGTTGAGGAGGCCAGACATTGGAGCCAGGGAGTCTTCTTGCTCAACAGGTAATACTTGTTGTCCAAATTTTTAAAGGCCTTCAAGTAGTAATAGAATAAAACATTCCAATAAGTGAGCTTGGCATCATAGATCTTAGCTAGATTCATCATTGCACCAAGTATCTTAAAGGAGTTAGCCCTAAGCTGGGATGCATGAAGACCCACGGTGTGAAGAAACACCCGTACCAAGTTGGGAATCGGGAACCTGATCCCTCCTTTTACAATTGCAACAATAGGCCATTTGTACCAATGGTCCTAGAAGTCTGTCACTTCCCTAGAAGCTGCCCTCATCTCAACGTTCTCGGGTATGTTAAAGTCTTTTTTGAATTCGCTAAGGATTACTCATTGGCTATCAAAATTCTATAAATTCCCTTATTCAAGCTTGTGAAGACTACCCAAGCAAAACAAAATGGTCAAAGATGACTCAAGCGCAGTCAAGGAAGTTCAAAAGGAAGAGGGGCCTATGCTATCGAGCCCAAGTCTCCTATTGCCAACCAGCACCAGCCTAAGGCTCAACACTACTTGTCGGCAATAGCCTCGACTGGCCACTGCCAGTCAACATAGGCCTTGGCTAGCTAATGCTTTTTAGCACAAGCATTGGCTAGTCACTGCCAATTGGCACATGCCTTGGCTAGCCCTTTCTAGCCGGTGTTCTCAATACCCATGCTCGAATCCCTTGTTTCAAGTTACAAACATGCAAGGTCATAGAATTTTATAATTCTAAGAATCAAAATGGACACACAAAGAACAAGTGAAGAACACATGAACATTAAAAAATTCAAGCAAGGGAACAAAGAAATTCAAAAATTCAAGCAAGGGAACATAGAACATTCAAAAATTCATGTGGAAAAGTGAAGTTTATTCAAAGATTCATGCTTGAAGCTTGTAAAATTTTCAAATTTACCTCAAGAAGGTAACTCCCAAGTGGCGGCAACGTACGTGGCTCTTCAAGCTCCAAGTTTCCTCCCTTTTCTTCTTACTAGCGAAACTCCAAAGCAATATGAGCAATGAAGAAAAAAGAAAGGGAATTTAAAGCTCTGAGCTACTTAGGCAATTGAAGCCCTAGCCTTCTAGGCAAAAAAGGCTAACGTAATTTAAAGCATACCTCAATTATTAGGAAATCGATTTATTAAGGTATGGGGGCAATTATGAGGCATAAAGTGCTCAAGGCACTTTATGCCACTATACAAAATGAAAAAGTAGATCATGACATTCGGCAAAATGGGAAAATGGCTCATGCCACTCAGCATTTGGAAAGAGTGGATCATGCCACTCAACTTTTGAAGACTAAGACCGACTACCAGTCGGCAAGTGGCTCGCCTGGCCACTTGTAGCCGGCAAGTGGCTTGGGCAAGTCCTCGTTCTTCCATGCTTGGCACTCAATACAACTATGGATGAGTCTTAATCTAATACCACTCCAAATTTCTAGAAGTTGGCGATGAGGCATCAAGGAGCTAGAGTCCTAGTTTAATATTACTTCGAGTATTTAGGAGCCAGTGATAAGGACCTTGGACCAAGAGGCCTAACCTTACTTTATCCCGTACTTCTAGGATCTGGTGACGAGTTTAGGCCAATCAACTGAGAGTTTGAGTTCCTTCGGGACACATCTCCCTACCACTATAAATAAAGGTCATGGGTACTAGTTAAGACATTCAATTCGAGCTTATTTACTCTATACTTTTATTTGACTTATGATCTGACTTAAGTATCAGAATCCCTTTGATCGCCTCCGACCATCACACTATAAGAAAAGAAAAATTTAGCGGCAAAAAAAGTCATCGCTAAAAGTGAATAATTCGCCGTTAAAAGTTTTATGCGACAAAAAAACTTGGTCTCAAATTTGTCGCGATAGGCTCGCCACTGAAAGTTTTTGACGACCAACTAAAGTATCGTCGCTAAAGTAGATTATTAGTGACAAAAAACTTAGTCGCTTAAAATTATCTACTTGTCACAAAAACATCTTCGTCGCTGAAAAATTATATTATAGTCACATTTTTTCTCTTTTGTGATGACATAATATTTGTCGTTGAAAATTAAGGTACATTTTTTGCGACTAACATATTTTTGACGCCAAATAACAAATGAACAAATTTTATAACGGGTTAACCCATTTAATTTAAAAAAAATTATATCAACAAATTTTAATACTCAACTTTTTTTATTGTTAGATGTACTTACCTAAAAAAAGAGAAATTTTCAAATCTCACATAAAAATCAAACTTTAAGGCTAAAAAAAAAGGGTAAGAGGTCACTACCTTTTATAGGCAAGTCAGCCATCCCCATCTCACCTCATTTGTCAATGTGTGACAAAAACAAAAGACATTGGTTTGCCTTTTATTTTTGAACTGCTCCCCATCACCCTATCACCCAAATCCGCTTAATTCATGTCGATTCGTGTCATTTAATCGTGTTGTGTCAGATTTTGATAGATCTACTCATCGCCAAACAATATCATTTTTAAATAGTGACATTTTATGATTACTATTGTCTTTGTAACAAATCAAAATAAATTACCTATAGTGTTTCAATCATTGAAGATCATTATAATACTTTTTGGCAGCGAAAAGTATATATTTGTCAACAAACATGTATTGTCGCTAAGTATTATTATTTTTGTTTTCTTATTTTTCATTATTTGATAAAAATTTTGTGACCGAAAAATTATTTTGGCGACAATTTTTTTTGTCGCCCATAAAATTAGCATTTAGCGCCAATATTGGCGCCAATTGTTTTTTGGAGGGAACGTTTTTGCGAAGATTATTGGTGACAACTACAAAAAATGGTCATAAAAAATATCATAAAAAATTTTACCACGACAAACATTTGAAATTGTTGCTGAAAATTACTTTTTTTACAATAAATTTTATTTTTCGTCACAAAAACTCGTCACTAAAAAAAACATTTGTTGTAGTGTCGGTTCATTTAAGTGGCTTCTTGTTTTGTAGGTCCTTCAAAGCTTTCTCATCACCCTCTCATTTCTTATAAGGTGGTTACTCTTTGTGTGAAATTATTCCAGCACAATGACTATAGAATTTAGTTGAGTTTACATTATGAAATTAACCAATTACAAAACATGACTTAACACACATCACATACTATATTATTAAATTTGGATATTAAGTTAGATATTTAGATCGTAATCTGAAAAAATCTTAATTTGACTTTTCAAATGTGGAATATATCTCCGATTAACACAAAAAGAAAGGCACTCCAAAGCAGTACGATGGAGGGGAGTCGTGCATTCAAAAAAGGTCATAATAATGCTGTTGACTGATTAGGCCATGCGCAACTAATTAAATTACAAGTGTAGGCCATTTCAGCATTCACTAGCTGCTAATGTTGACATGATGCTCCGCCTTTAGAGTAGTCGTAGTATGAATCAGCTTACAGTTTAATTAATTGGGGTCGGTTGGTATTTAATTCTCCCCCACCAACATCCACCGGTACACATTAATGAGCACCCAAAACAATGAATCAAAGTGAAAAGAAAAAAGGCTGAAAATTCATGTTCTATCCTTCTTTGCAGTAGCCATAACTTTATTGATGAGAATGAAGTGAAAGGTGGTGATGGATAGTAGCTAAAAATAATACGAATATATATATAGATTGTTTGGCTGTTTGCAGAAACCATGCGAAAAAGATTTGAGGTTCTTTTTGCATGGGAGGCTAATAATCCTCGTTTAACATCTCAGTTGGTCAAACTCACAGAACCTTCATTGCTCATACATAACCCATTTCTCCATTTCTGTTTCCCACATCTTTCTTTCCTTGTTGTCCTTCTTTAGAGATCTCACACCATCTCTTCTAAGGTAGATTTCCATTCTCTCCCCGCCCCCCCTCTCTCTCTCTCTCTGTGGAACACTATTCTTCAAACCTCTTTGTTTGATTATTTGATGGCCTGTCGTTCCCATTTTACACTAATTTATCTATAGATACTTCTGATATATCCTCAGGATTGATCTTCAACCACAACCTATTAAACATTCTTATTATTTTTTGTTTTTTCCTTCAGATTTACAAGGCCAAAACTTCTAACAATTCTGGACTGCTTTTGTGCTTATATTTATCTGAGTGAGTACAAATACAAATAGGAAGGACAAAAAAAAAGACAACAAAGCGAAGATGAACTCCACAAACGACATAATGATGGAGATAGAGGGAAACAAACCAGCAGGAAATGGGTTAGTAGTGGGAGGTTTGAGTCCTCTCAGTGAGACCCTTTGGAGAGAGAAGACGAACACTGAGTTCGTAGGAGATGTGTCCGCAAGACTCACTTGGAAGGATCTGACTGTAATGGTGAGTATGAGCAATGGAGAGACCCAAAATGTTCTGGAGGGACTTACTGGTTATGCTGAGCCTGGAAGTTTCACTGCCCTCATGGGCCCTTCTGGTTCTGGCAAATCTACACTGCTTGATGCCCTCTCTAGTCGCCTTGCTGCTAATGCTTTTCTCTCCGGCACAATTCTCCTCAATGGCCGGAAAACTAAGCTCTCTTTTGGGACTGCAGTGAGTGTTCTTCACTTCCTTTTTCTCTCTTTTTTCACAGCCACATTTGTATGAATATCCATACACAGAGGAAAATATTGATATGTATGTGTGCGTGTGTGTGTGTATTCATTTAAAATACACCTACACAAGCTTAAGTTTATTGGATGCAAAATATATCAAACTAAAGTTTATCCAAAATTCATGTTAACCATGTTATTTACTCAAATGTGTTTGTGTTAAAAGAAGGCCTTTATCCGATGATGTTTATTTCGATTGCTGTCTCTGTTGTTTTTAATAATTTTTTTCTTCACTTTGCAACTCAACTCCACGAAGAATCAAAATTATGAAACGTTTGAGTTTAGGTAGAAACCGAAATGGATTGAAAAACCAGAATTTCCATGTTTTTGAATATTTTTAGGGTGTTTCTGGTTGTTTTGGGATGCTTTAGAGTTAAGATTCCAATTTTTTTTCTGTTTTTATTTCATTTTCAAAACATTCTCCAAATTTCTCCATTTTTGAGCAAATCCAAATTATGTGCAAAAAAATAAAAAATAAAAATTTGATTCTTGAACGTAACTCAACAAAAACTTTATCGCAAATGCGGCTGCACACAAACATACCATACGTATTATGGCTTTTGTTACTGATGATTAGATTTGAACTCAGGCATATGTAACACAAGACGACAACTTGATTGGTACTCTGACAGTTCGGGAAACTATTTCATATTCAGCTCGGCTGCGTCTCCCTGATAGGATGCCTTGGTCGGAGAAGCGGGCATTGGTTGAGAGCACCATCATAGAAATGGGTCTTCAGGATTGTGCTGATACAGTTATTGGGAATTGGCACTTGCGTGGAATCAGTGGAGGAGAAAGGAGAAGGGTCAGCATTGCCCTTGAAATTCTGATGAGGCCCAGATTGCTTTTCCTTGATGAGCCAACAAGCGGACTTGACAGGTTAAGCATTCAGATCCTCCTCCTACCTTCTTTAATACTAGTGCAACCTATTATAAACATTGCAGATATATAGTTCTCTGTTATATATTAATTTTAATTTAATTTGATAATTAATTTAAACTTAATTCGTAACCATCGTCATAATGGGTTTATCAATTTATCCTTTTACTAATATATTGTGCTAGGATCAAACATCGGATATAATGTGTGTCCATTGTCCTAATGCCAATCTCAAGTGTGAATGAGAAATCAATGTGCAGTATTAACTTTGAAAAGACAAAGTATCCTATAAGATTGCATGGTTCTCAACCAATCATGGATATTGTAGTGACTTATATCAATCCAGTGGTGGATCCACAGTGGGGACAGCTGCCCCCGTTGAAATTTTAAAAACTTTTGGTAAATNAATCCAGTGGTGGATCCACAGTGGGGACAGCTGCCCCCGTTGAAATTTTAAAAACTTTTGGTAAATAAGTATAATTTCAAAAATTTTAAAATTTATTAGAGATTTGACACCAGTAAATTTAAAAAAAAGATAGTTATGATATTTTGACAAATAAATAAGTCTCACTTATAAATGTAAAAAAAAATCCTATAAAAGGTTNATAAGTATAATTTCAAAAATTTTAAAATTTATTAGAGATTTGACACCAGTAAATTTTTTAAAAAAGATAGTTATGATATTTTGACAAATAAATGAGTCTCACTTATAAATTTAAAAAAAAATCCTATAAAAGGCTNAGATTTGACACCAGTAAATTTAAAAAAAAGATAGTTATGATATTTTGACAAATAAATAAGTCTCACTTATAAATGTAAAAAAAAATCCTATAAAAGGTTAAATATCTCCATTATGTGTCAGATTAAATTGTTTTGATTTGTTGTTTTTAATTATGTACACAAGTTTAATTTAATAGAATAGTCATAGTTTACTTTTGTTTCAATTGTTTGTTAAAATTCAACTATATATGATTGAGCCAAATTTTTTTGTTTAAAATTTTTGTTAGGTGATTAGGTCATATAGATAAATTTATAGTGAGCTTTTTTTGTTGGCTATTTTTGTGTAGCGCTCATGTATGTGGGTTGTGGCTTTAATGAGTGTTCTATTAATAAAACAATACTTTTGTAAACATTAGTAATTTTAAGATTCATATGATTTAGGTGCCCCCACTAGGGAAAATGTCTGACTCTGCCCCTATATCAATCTATAAGCAGTGAAAAAGTACCCCTGACTATTTTAGTGGTTCAGTTAGGAACAAATGAGCAAGGAATGTTGCATAACTCCCCTTACAAAACGAATAAATTGTCCGAGACTAGGTCAGGCTAGTTGGAGGCACTTCAATGCTTAAGNCAAGGAATGTTGCATAACTCCCCTTACAAAACGAATAAATTGTCCGAGACTAGGTTAGGCTAGTTGGAGGCACTTCAATGCTTAAGTCAGTATACGTTTGAAGCATAATCTGAGCTAATTGTAGGGGTTATGTAATGTGTACCATTGACTTTAGCCTACTCGGATTTATAGTGGTATGTCCCTTCTTCTAAGGTTTTTCTCCCTTCAACAATGTGAGGTGGCACACATTTCATTCAGTTGGATTACAAGTGATCAACATCAGGACCCTTTCATGTCAATCCTTTTATTCGGATATGTAATGTCCCTTATGACTCATTGGGATTGAGTGATCTTCGTAATCATGAGTAAAACTGAAGGGGAGCTGAATTTGGTGTTTCATTTTTCTTTGAAGGTACTTCAAAAGTAGAATTTTCGAAGGTTAGTTGTGTTCCATGATCGTGGAAGTGGCTTTCCCTCCATGGTCTCAAGTTCATAAGGCCTGTTTCCTTTGACCTGCATGACCTTGTAAGGTCCTTCCTAATTGGCCTTGAGCTTACTATCCGTTGGGTTCTTGGTGGAGCCTACTATCTTACTTAGAACCAGATCCCCAACATTGAAGGCTTAGGAGTGTACTTTCATGTTATATTCTTGAGACACTGTTGTTGATAAGCTGTCAGTCTTATGGCCATGGATTCCTTTCTCTCTTCTGCTAAATCTAGCTCTTTGGCTATTGTGTGTTCATTTTCCCTACTACTTGCTACTTTGGTTCTAATTGTAGGGAGATCAATTTCCAAAGGTATCACAACTTTCATGTTGTGTGCTAGCACATAGGGAGTTTCCCCTGTTGCATGGCATGGTGTGGTTCGGTACGTCCACAAAATGCTAGGCAACTCTTTCACCCATTTACCCTTTGCCCTTTCCAACCTTTCCTTTATTCCATCAAGAATAGTTTTATTTAATATCTCTACCTATCCATTGCTTTCTGGATATGTGGGGTGGTATAATGATTTCAGATCCCATAGGGCTGACAAAATGCCTTGAATAGACCACCATCGAAATGGGCCATTGGTATGTCATACCTTATAATGATATTTTTCCACACAAACCTCTTTGTGTCAATGTCACGAATGTTTTCCAATGGTTTAGCCTCCACCCATTTTGTGAATTAGTCAATTCTTGCAAGAAGGTACTTCTTGTTTCCAGGTGCTCTTGGTAATGACCTAACAATATCCAACCCCCATTGTACAAAAGACCATCGGTTCATGAGAGGAATCAAGTCTTGTATTGTCTCAAGGAAAAAATCCTAAGAAAGCGCCCAGTGTGCAAGTGTCCTTCCCACTATTTGGGCCTCATAACTTCCTTCGTGGATCTCAAGGAAAAAATCCTACACCATTGCAAGATGTACACAAATTAAGTACGGGCTTGCGAATGAACGACAGTACAACTCCCCACTTGGTGATAGCCAAACTATAGTTGCCTTCAACCGTACTTTGTGTGCCTCTTTATTATTTTCGGGAAGCTATCCATTCTCAAGATAGCTTGTGATGGGATCCATCTAATTGGGCCTCTACTCAATCAATAATATGTCCAATGCCCTCTAAAACTCAATGCTCAACCTGTCTTTGCACTCAACCATAGTTGTCAAATCGCGTATCGGAAGACGTCTCGTTTTTCAAAAATAGTGTATCGTCCGATACACGCAATTTTAATTTTTAAATAATTACTAATAATATATATATATATATATATATAACATCAACTGCTTGAACAATCTTAATATTAATTAAAAATTTTGAATTTAATTAAACAACATTAAAAACAAACTTAATTTTTTTTTTAAAAAAAATCATAACCACTGAAACGACGTCTCATTGGTTAGTGATTTAAAAATAAGTNTATATATATAATATCAACTGCTGGAACAATTTTAATATTATATATATATATATATATATTTAACATCAACTGCTTGAACAATCTTAATATTAATTAAAAATTTTGAATTTAATTAAACAACATTAAAAACAGACTTAATTTTTTTTAAAAAAAAAATCATAACCACTGAAACGACGTCTCATTGGTTAGTGATTTAAAAATAAGTCATACGGTAAAACAATATCATTTTAGCCAAAAAAAAACAGAATTATCACGTATATGACGTATCGTATCGTATCGTGTATCGTACGATATGGTGCAAAAATGATACAGAGACACAATACGTATCATTTTTCAACTATATTGTGATGTATCATATGATACGTATCGCGTATTGTACGATACTAATAACTATGCACTCAACCATTATAGCCTGAACCGTTAAAGGTGGACGCCAACGTAGCCAGTGCGTAAGCATGTGTGTTTNGATACGTATCATTTTTCAACTATATTGTGATGTATCATATGATACTTATCGCGTATTGTACGATATTAATAACTATGCACTCAACCATTATAGCCTGAACCGTTAAAGGTGGACGCCAACGTAGCCAGTGCGTAAGCATGTGTGTTTTTGGCCTTGCAACCTGTTGAATAGTAAATTATGAAATAATCTAAAGTTCTTTCTTGGCCAACTCATAGTATACTATCATTCGCTCATCTTTTGTGGAGTATTCTCCCAATAGTTGACTTACTACCAGCTGTGAATCAAAAAAAATTTGCAGATGCTTGGAAACCAAATCGACCGCGAGGCTTACCCTAGCCAAGAAAGCTTCGTATTTTGTTGCATTGTTTGATGCTTGGAAGTTCAGTTTTACTAATTTTTCTAGCACGTCACCCTCTAGGCTTTCCAGGACTAGGCTTATTCTTACCTCTTTTTTTTGGATGCCCCATCATCGTACAATTTCTAGCTATTTCGGTAATCTGGGTTGTCTTCCCCAGCAATGTCATTCTTCATGGTACTTGGAGCTATTGGAGGGTTAATCAAATTCAGGAGAATTAATTCGGCGAATAAGTCGATGACCACTTGACCCTTTATTGTTGTTCGAGGCTCGAAGTTGATATCATAATCTCCCAGTTCAATGACCCACTTTGACACCTTCTAGAGATGTTGGCCTTCCTAAAGAGTGCCCTGAGTGACTGGTCTGTGAGTGCCGTTACTGTGTGTGCCTGGAAGTATTGTTACAATTTTTTGGCAGAGCTCATGAATGCGAACACCAATTTCTCGAGTGGCAAGTATCTCATCTCCGCATCGAGAAGTGTTTTGCTTACATAGTAGATTAGGTTCATTCCTTTATGATAGGTCTTCATTAGTACGCCACTAACTGTGGGTTCAGAAATGGCTATGGAGAGAAATAAATGCTCACTTGGCTTTGGTGTTGCCAACAATGGCAGGGTGGCCAAATATGGCTTCAAATTATTGAAGGCGTCTTCACATTGCTAGATCCATACTCCTCCTCCTTTCTATTTAAACAATTGAAAAATGGTCTGCATTTATCTGAAGATCTTGATATGAATCTATTAAGGGCAGCTGCCATGCCAGTCAGCCTGTAGACGTCCCTGACCGGTTTGGGGGATTGTAGTTTAATACTCCCGTAATACATCAAAAATATTCTGCAAGTTGCTTGAGTGGTTGCTAGATTTCTATCTCTTAACCACCATATCATCAATATTAACTTCCATTGTATCCCCCAACATTTTTTTGAACATCCTTGTCACCAACCTTTAGTATGTTGCTCTNAATTGAAAAATGGTCTGCATTTATCTGAAGATCTTGATATGAATCTATTAAGGGCAGCTGCCATGCCAGTCAGCCTCTAGACGTCCCTGACCGGTTTGGGGGATTGTAGTTTAATACTCCCGTAATACATCAAAAATATTCTGCAAGTTGCTTGAGTGGTTGCTAGATTTCTATCTCTTAACCACCATATCATCAATATTAACTTCCATTGTATCCCCCAACATTTTTTTGAACATCCTTGTCACCAACCTTTAGTATGTTGCTCTGGCATTCTTGAGTCCAAATGGCATGACTCTGTAACAATATACCCCTTCCGGTGTGATGAACGAAGTTTTTTCATGGTCTAGTTCAAAAGGGGAATCTAATGCTAACCCCTATAGGCATTGAGGAATCTCATTCCCTCGTGTCCCGAAGTTGAATTGACCAACTGGCTAATCTTTGGCAGTGGGAAACTATCATTTAGGAAGGCTTTGTTGTGGTCAGTAAAATCTACATAGACCCTCCACTTTCCACTCTTCTTGTTAACAACTACCGTGTTGGACAGCCAGATAGAATATTGTACCTCCCTAGTTGATAGTGCCTCCAATAATTTCCCGACCACTTCCTTTATAGTGTCTCTATGTTGTGCTATTGACCTTCTTTGCTTCTGCTTAATCGTTCTGAAAGTTGGCACGTTCAAGTGGTGACCGATGTCTTCAAGGTAAATTCCTGACATTTCATAAGGAGTCCAAGTGAACACATCAATATTTCCCCTAAGGTGAGAGCCTCCAATGCCTTCTACTTGTGCGGCGGCAGTGAGGAGCCCACCAAAAAAAAAAATTCTTGGTACCCTATTCTAGGTATACTTTCTTCAATCCTTCAATTGCTTGCTCTTTCGGCCCGGCTAACGGTTCTTCAATGGCCAACCTCTCATGCTTTGATTTTTATTTCTTGGATGGTTTGGGCGACATATCCCTTTCTTGGTCATCTTTAATCCCTTTTCCTTTTGTCGAGGTGAAAAAATAGTTCCTTGAGCTAACTTGATGTCCCCATGCACATTGAAGACTCCTCCTTTAACCATAAATCTTAAGATCTAGTGATATGTGGAGGAGACCGACCTCAACTCATGGAGTCAGGTTCACCCCATAATGGCATTATACGACGAGTTTACCTCAATAACCAAGAATTTGATTATCGTGCCCATCAGGCCAACTTGTATTGGCAAAGTTATTCTCCCTTTTGGTAGGATCATCTTTCCACTAACTCTAAAGAGCAAAATGTTTGTAGGATTCAAGTCTTCCTCATTTAACCCAAGCTTGCAAAATAGCCCGTAGTACATTATTTTTTAAGAGCTCCACTAGTCAATCAAGACTCTTCTCATGCCAAAGTTGGCTATTTTCACAGTGAGGGTAAAGACATCGTTAAATAGATGGTGAACCCTTGCCAAGTTACAATCAGAGAAACTGATCAATCCTTACAACTGATCAATTTTTTGTTTGTGGTTATTGGATGGTACACCAACCTAATAAAATTCCCTCATTTGGGCAGCCTTCTGTATATATGCCCAAACTGAATTATTTGCGATCATGTTCGGGTTGGTAACCACATGTATCACGCCGATCACTCGTATCGAATCGTGCTGGCGTTCCCTAACCGTGTTTTCTTTGCGGTTTTTGTTGGTCTTTTCCCTTTTTAGTCTCCACGAACTACAAGAGTTGTCTACCTGGGACAAGTTCTTCAAGGTAGTGTTTTAGGGCATGATATTTCTTAGTTGTGTGTCCTATATCATGGTGATAAGAACACCTCAAATTCGGGTACCTTTTCTCTGGTTCTCCTTCCATTTTGTTCGGCCATTTGAAGAATGACTTTCCCTTTATTTGAGACAAGATTCGGTAGATTAGCTCTTTAAATATGGTGTTTACCCCACAAATGAGGATCTTGACAAAAAAAAACCCTCCTTTTCTTTTCCGTTTTTCCCAAACTGAGAATGTGTGCTCAATTTCTCTTTCCCGATATGTTTCTTGCTAGGTTGATATCCGATTTACATCCCTACTGAGGTCAACATCAACCTAAGCATACTCCTCTATTCTGGCCATAAGTTCTTGCATGTCGAGTGCCAGTCTTATAGTTAGCAACTGGTACAGCTAGTTCTCCGTTGGTAAACCAACCTTGAAGGATGCGACAACGTTCTCGGGATTACAACTTTCAATTTCATTCATAGTCTCCCAGTATCGATGAGCATATTCATGGCATCTCTCCATTTCTCTTCTTCAAGGAGAATAGAGCCCCAACATCCTTCGATTGTCAACTGCTGGTAATGAACCGAGTTGTGAACTACTCGGTGAGTTGTATCCAACTATCGACTAAATTCCTAGCTAGGTTGTCGAACCATTTCATTGCTGATTCACCTAGGCTGCTATGAAATATTGTGCATAATAGAGCTTTGTTGTTTAAGTGGACCACCATCAGTTGTCCATAATAATAGATGTGCACGGTTGGATCCGATTTTCCATCTTATAGTTTGAATTTCGGGATGGTAAACTTACTTGGGACTCTCTTCATTTCTATCCATCTGGAGAAAGGTGAAATTTCAACCCATCCAATGTATTCCCTAGTTTCTCTTCTCACCAAATCCCTAGCACATTTTTGCTCGGTCGTTCTAACCTATTGTTGAGTTCTTCTGTAATGAAGTGTTTCTAGTCGTCCTCTTGGTTTTTTGTGCGATACAACTTCCTCCTTTCATTCATCTCATGTGAATCTTCTCTATGCCTTGGCCTATTCCTTTAAGGGGTTAAACTCCCATGTCTCTAGTCTCGTTCGCCTCTTTTACTGGTGGCTCAGTCTTTGGGTTTCTCTAGGACATTCCTACCCTATATCTTTTCAGTGCATCCTTCAACTCTTTGTTCTCTCATTCTAATTTATTCTCCTTATCGTAGGACCATTTGAGCATAGAATTGTGTTCATCCGGTCGGTCCTGAAGGGATTGGACTAACTTCACGAATACATGGATTTCCCCATTGGCACGAGGGGATCTCTCATGTTGTTGTCCTTCTTTTCATGTCTCTTCTTCAGGGTTATAGCTGGCCGACGAAAGATTGTCGTTGTCATCAGGATATTTATCTTGGCTTCGAAAGACATCTTCTCTGATGTCGCTGTCAGAAGGGGATAACACCTTATATTTCTGATCGGGGTCATTCCCAGCATCATCGTTCATTGGAGATCTGATTATGCTTTTGTAGTATTGACATTGTCCTCTTTGTTCAGGTTTCCCACAGACTACACCAATTGTAAGGGATGAAAAAAATATCCCTTATTATTTTAGTGGTTCAGTTGGGAACAAATGAGTAAGGAACGTTGCACCAATCTCACTACAAAACGAACAAACTGCCTGATACTGAGTTGGGCCAGTCGGAGGCACTCCGATACATAAGTCAGTATACGTCCAAAGCGTAATCAGAGCTAATTGTAGGATAATATAGTGTGTACCTTTGACTTTAGTTTATTCGAATTTTATAATCTGTCCCTTCTTCTATGGTTTCTCTCTCCTTCGACAATGTGAGGTCGCATACCTTACATTCAGCCAGATTACTAGTGATCAACACCAGGATCTTTTCCTGTCAATCCTTTTATTCGGACACATGGATAATGTTTGCTCGTGATTTGTTCTGATCAATGTAACGTCCCTCGTAATTCATTGGGATCGAGTGATCTTCATAATCATGAGTACACCAAACTATTTGAGTCGGCCTAGCTGAATTGTATCCACCAATTTAATAGCTATTTGACTAACTCGACCAAACTCATTAGTTCGGTTCAGCATTGTGTGTGGTGATCATGTTGAGCTGGCTCTACTGTTCCAAGTGAGCATCATATTGACACGTGGTCGATCACGTGCCTGTACCCTTCACAATTATTCCTCATTGAGTATCACTTATGTGGCATTGATTTATACTAAGAATGTGATATTAGATTGCGTTATAGCACCACACTGGTATTAACAAAAATTATAAAGATGGAATTCATAACTTGATCCCAATCTAATATTCAGCAATTATTAGTCTAATTTACTCCAAATATTATCGAATATCCAAACTAAGCACACCCCTGATCCATCTTTCTCCCATCAATGAATAAGATTGCGGTATTACGGGAAGTACTGCATCAAAATTACAAGGAAAACGACCTTAAAATATTAATNTAAGATGGAATTCATAACTTGTTCCCAATCTAATATTCAGCAATTATTAGACTAATTTACTCCAAATATTATCGAATATCCAAACTAAGCACACCCCTGATCCATCTTTCTCCCATCAATGAATAAGATTGTGGTATTACGGGAAGTACTGCATCAAAATTACAAGGAAAACGACCTTAAAATATTAATATTCCTGGTTTTTCAATAGGTTCAAATTACGATTTAAAACTAAATTTAATATAAAAAACGACCTTAAAATATTAAAATTTGATTACATCGAAACTTCAGCTTTATTTTATATTGAAGAGTGACTTTTCTTACCCTGCCCTGCATCCTTATTTATTTTCACTTTTCCCTCCACTCTTGCTAACGAGGTTCGTTTGGATTTTTTGGCAGTGCTTCGGCATTCTTTGTAACACAGACACTACGTGGTCTGTCTCGAGATGGAAGAACTGTCATAGCCTCAATTCACCAGCCCAGCAGTGAAGTTTTCGAGTTGTTTGATAGATTGTACTTGCTTTCTGGAGGCAAAACAGTTTACTTTGGTCAGGCTTCAGAAGCATACGAGGCAAGAATACTAAATTGTAAGCAAAGCACATGTGTTTTTTGGCAATGACGTCCTTACATCGATTTTGTGTCTGCAGTTCTTTGCTCATGCTGGCTTTCCCTGCCCTACTCTGAGGAACCCATCCGATCATTTTCTCCGATGCATTAACTCTGATTTCGACAAAGTTAAGGCAACTTTGAAAGGATCAATGAAACTGCGGGTATCATGTTTTTCCTTGTGGTCTTCTGTTTCTCTCTATGTAATTTACCCTTTTGTCATTCATGTTAACGCAATTTTGGGAAAATTTTTGCTTTGTTGGTTTTGTTCTTGTAGGGTTTGAAGGGGGGGGGGGGGGGGGGGG